CTCAGCTGCAGACGGAGGCAACACCAGTGACACCCAGTCATCCAGCAGTATGAATATTGCCATGGGCCCATCTGCTAGAGCGGCCAGTCAAACAACTCGGGTAAGGCTGAAGCCAAAATAGCAGTGCTAAGCGTGCCCTACAGTACTGCTCGCCTGTCAGGTTCCTGAACTGTCCTCACCACCGCCTGGTTTCTTCTTGCTCATCAGAAAATAGTCTTTTCCAAACCAACGTCTTTGGATTTTGGTATTTTGGTTTGGATTTTGCTGCATCACAATGAAAGTGATGCCGTTTAGTATTAGTGTGTATATGAGATGGATGTATCTGTAAGTAATTGACAGGCTGGCGTTAAGCACACACATGAAGTTGCAAATTAGGGCAAAGTCCCTCTTTTTTTCACTCAGACCAGGGTCTTAGGTCTCCATTGTCTGCAGCCCAGGTGATGAGTACCATCATAGGCAGACTATAGCTCCTTCCTTGCTTGCTTATGCAGGACTTAGTTATTTGTACAGAGAAGAACAGTTGCCACTGAACACTGCACTTGTTCTGTTCCTCTCTCTGACCAGAAATTCAATCCAGGACCTGAAAACCTTGTTGCTGAAAGGGTTAGTCAAAGGAAACCTGCATGCCCTGTGATTCAGCGTTTTCTAACAGCAAAATAGTATGCACGAAGAACTTCCAGCCCTCTTCTCAGTAGGCTCCCACCTCTATTCTCATCTTCCCTGGAAAATTCAATGCACATAGTAGTGTTATTGTTTTATTGTCTATTTAGGTATATTTATTTAACTTTGGTTGCCATCAAGTGCTTTCCTGAATTTTGAAACTTTCACCTCAGCACTACAGAGCAGTAATGTGAGAAGATGGACTAGAGATAAAGGGCAACTGCAACTGGAGGTTGAGTGACATCATACTTAAGACAGGCTTTACACATTTGGCCCATCAAAATGGAAACCAAATTGGCAACAGGGGAAGATTGTGGATATTGAAGGTCCAAAACACTTTTCTGCTACTATCATTCTGAACTGTGTACAACTTGCCTAATTTTCAAAGAATTCTCCAAACCTCAAGAGAAAAAAAACTCCTTAGCTTGTGTGTATTTTGCTCTCAACCCAAAAATACCATGTATGGTATAGTTCCCTGGAGTTTTGCCCTGAACTTCAACAGAAGTTGACTGGCATTACTCATCTGGGTCCAATCCTACTTTATTACTCTAATGAGCATTAATGTGTACAGCTGAATGTATCAGAAGACAGGGCATAATTCCAGCTCTCAAGACTTTATAGCCTAATTTGCAAGAACTCAGTCAGTCTGCAATACTGAGCGCTAATGCTAGGATTCACCTCATCTAACTTTAAACCATCTAGAATTTGGGCATGACGTCTCCGTAGATTGCTGGTGTGGCCTCTCTGTTCAGCGGAGAGGACCATACACTTCATCCTTACAGCTTCCAGGAAGAAATCTTGCCCCACCACACTCGTATCTCTCTGCCAACCACTGACAGCCTATGGTGATACACTAAGACTACATGGTTAAATTCAGATGAGGTGAGTCCTGGCCAAAGTAACTGCGCAGAGTCCAGGTGCCTATTTGATTGCAAGTGGTGAGGAGGAAGTGCTTTATTTAAACATTAACACAGTACAGTTCTGGAGAGCTTTTATACTAATGGGCTCCTTACAGTGGGGTGACACTGTGCGTAACGCTTTCAGCCTGATAATTGCATTCCAGTTTTGATGAAAAGGTTTCTTCGCAAATTGGATTTAAAATTTGGTGTACAAAGCAAGCCCCAGAGCAACCCAATTTAACTTCTTAGAAGTCAGCCCTGCTTGGAGCAGCACTCTGGACCGAATGACCTCCAGAAGTCCTTTTCAGTCCAAATGATTTTACAGCTCACTCTACCTGTACATCTGTGGTACTAAACCTCTAGCTCCTGGTCTGCTTTTCTTTCCAAATCTATGTGTGGCACAAGGTGTGACAAGTAGCTCTTCAGAAGTCCCTTGGAGTAACGCATGTTAGGAATCCCATGCAGCTTCACAGAATGACATTCCTAAATCAATTTTTAACTTTTTTCACCTGTCACTTCAAAAAATAGCTGAAGCATTACTTAGAAATGTCCTAAACTAGTAGGCTTTTTCTTTCTTTCTTTCCAGCAACTCACCGAGACCACCTGCGAAGCAACCGACGCTACAGAACCCAGACCGCGGCGAGAGGCAGGGCCGGGCCCTGCCATATTCATGAGTCGGAACCTGGAGTGCAGAAGGGCCAGCCAAGAAGACATGGCCCTGGAAGACACTGCTTCTCAGCAAAGCCTGTCTGAGGAGCAGTAAGGAGTATTCCTAGCACAAGGGCCACGTGCTTCTTAGAATTAAATAAAGACAGAGCTAGGTCAGGGAGCTGCACATGGGTTTAGGTTCTTTCAAATGTAACAAGCAATCTCCAAATGATTATTTTTCTAACTTCTACACAAGAATACTACAGGGCAGGTGTTCTTCAGCTAAAGTTCTTGGCATGGGTAGGGTTGGAAGATGTCCTAAAAAACACACAGTGCCCCTTCATCTCAGGTTCTTGTAAATCCTAGAACAACAAATACAACCTGTTTAATGTTCCTTCCCCTGGAACGGTTGGAATCATGAATGAATACAGTGAGAAATATTAATACAACTCAGTGAAAAGCACACAAGACATCTCTTTCCTGTCATAACTAAATGATTGCATGCAAACTAATTGGCATTTGATACATAACATACAGCCAAAGGCAACTTTGAACAGAAGCAATGAATACATAAAAGGACAGTACGACATGACATGTCCTGTAGCATTAGAGCTTAATCTGATTTTTTTTCCAACAGCAAATCTCTTTCTTGTTTTTCTTTAACAAGTCATGCAGGTGGTAATTCTGAATAGCAACACAGCATCACAGACTGATATACTGCATGCAGCCATATCGAAGTATTGTGTGAATGAGCCATGCTACACAGATTAACAAAAGTGTGAGAAAAGACAGTATCCAGTGCATGAGAAGCCTTCAAAGCATATGGTGCTTATTGGCAAAGAAAGCAGCTTTGCATCAACACCTGCTCTTAGGTATTATCTCATGTTCCTGTTTGGTTTACAGCAGTGTCTCTCAAATTCCAGGCAACAGCCCCCTTGGGAGGCACAAAAGGGCCCAGGGAAACCCCCTTCAAGGAGAAGAAAGTGCAAAGCAGGCTGTAATTACTGTCTGGAAGTGTTTGCATTAGGAAGGGAACAGCTAAATGCCTTTAATTGCTGGACACAGCTCAGTGTCCATAACGCTTGTAGCCAGTAATTGCAAAGCATTCTGATTTCCCTCCCCCAGAGAAACTGAGCTGCTGCCAATTTAATAGTTGTACAGAGACTGATGATGCAAAAAGGGAGGCCACGCTTTCACAAAGTTTGAGAAACACTGATTTACAGGAACGCATGACTACTCTGGAAGCCAAAAGGCTACAACAAATCCTTCCTCTACTATAGCATCTAAACACACGTGCGCATTATCATTTTTTTTTTTTAAATTAAAAAAATTGCAGCTATCTGTGTCTTGCTGTTCCTCTTTACTGTAACTACCATAGATTGTTTCTAATTCTCAACACGATAATGCGCAGTCAGGCTGTCTTGTCCCAATTAACAAGAAAGATTTAACAAGAGATGTGGTAGCTAACTCTCATTACTGTTAGGCGATACACAGTTGCATTCTGAGCTTCCTACTGTGCCACACTTAAGATTATAAGTAGTATGACTAAATAACACCTACTGAAAATAAAGTGATCCAAGTATGTTTTGTGTGGCAGCAGTTTTTGGGGTTTCTATTTGGAATTGTTTTCCCTTGCTTTCTGCCTTACAAAATTGAGAAATCTATTGTTTTTCTTTCAATTCCGATCTTGGATGAATTGATTATTTATAAAGCTCAGCACAACCTTGGCAAAATTCTGCTCATGTTTGCAAGGGCAAAAGCACAGTATTCCTGTACAGCCCCCGAGACACACAGTCATCAGTGCAGTTTAGGCCCTACTAGTGTCTCCTCCAGCATCCAGGTGTGATGTGGAAGAGGAAACTGAATTCAGCTGCTCCCCTCTGACCATTTCTGGCAGATCCATGCCTCTCCTCCCACCACCCTGCTTTGTTACAAATGAAGGATGGAGGTGACGCAGGTAGGTGGAGGGCTCTTACCAACAGCCGCCAGCCCCATTTCTGCCCTGGGGGGGCTTTTGCATGGCAGTCCACTAAGAAAAACCAGCACTGCTTTGTCTTCCTAAACCCTGCCCTTGCATGGAGGCAGGGCAAACAGGCAGCCATGGAAAGCACTGAAAACTTCCCGTGTTCAGTTAGCCTCACTTAGGTCTCCAATTTTCGCATCTTAAGTTAAAGTTTGAATTCATTTCCATCAAAAATAAAGTAACTCCAGTAGTCCCAATCAACCTAAATTATTCTGTCTCCAACTCAAGCACACTAAACCAGATTGGGAAACAGCTGCACAAATCCTTCCAGCAGCAAGCCCCTGTCTCTGCTTAGCACAGACCAAGGCCCAGCAACACCACCTTCTCCAGGCACCACACTTTCTGTAAGAGACTCTGCCATCTCCGTGGCCTCTGGTACTGCACACTATGATAATGCAGCTGCCTCACAGGCCCTGACTTAGTTCAAGCCACCAGCCTCTGGAGCGTAACTCTGTGGGGGCAGCAATGGCATGAAGCCCAGCCTCCTGCTGCACAGGGTGGCTGCCAGAAAAGGCATGTCCCAACTCCTGTGTTGAGGCACAGTACACAAGCAGGGCAGAGCAGGAGTCAAGGTAAGATTCAAAACCAAGTTCCTTTTTGTAGCCATGTCTTACACAGTTTTTATTTTGCCTTAAAGTTGTTACTGTAGCAGAGTGGGTTGAAAAAACCCAAGAGCGACCATTAACAACAGTAACAAAGACAGACCAAAAAAAAAAAAAACCCCAAACAAAAAAAAAAACCCCAAAGCTGATAGAACAAACTCTCCCACATTACATATCTCCATAATTTTGGAGACAGTCTGCTGTTATTAGTAAGATTACTGCTACATGCAGTGTTTTTAAATATAGGCCAATCCTACAGAATAATCAGACATGATGGTTAGAAATAAAACCTGGAACTAGGTGTGAGGTTGTACAGATTAAAAACATCTTAGACCTCCCCCCATGTTTGCATGAGGTAGAGATAGACCTGATTACTCTGTACACAATGAAGAGGCACACAAAGCTAATAAACAGGTACATAACCTTTACACAAAGCTAATTTCAACAGTTAGCTGCTCAGAGCAGCTCCGCACAGCACTGAAAGACACCCAAGTTCACAGGAATGCAACTCTCGGCACCAGTACCTACAGATAGACAGAGGCTTTAAGCCCTACTTTTATTCCTGAAAGACCTAAGCAGCTTGATACTTGACCTCACACCCGAGGTGCTTCAGAGTTGCAAGACGGAGGTACCTGTGACACCTCAGGAACCCCAGCTGTTGGGCAGTTTTGGGCTCTGAATGAAAAAGCAAAGGTGACTGTCACTGCATTTAAGTCAGCTGCGGCGCTGATGATTGATAGGTTTCACAATGCATAACGCTGTTGTTAAAACTGGGCCCTGAAGTTGCTCAGGCTGAACGGTTTGCCTACACTACGTGTCTGATGTCTTACCACCTCTGTGATGCAGGAAGGATGGCCACCACCAGTGTGTAAGTACCCTTTACATGCAGTTCCATTTTGTGTCCGTTTTGAAGATTCAGGTGCTATGCTTCAATTTTTCCAGAGCTGCAAAGGCTGCTTACTCAGCAGGGGCTGAAGGCAGAAGCCTGCCTGGTGCTCATTCAGCCAGCCCAAAGCCTTCTTGTTTCTACAACCTGAAAGTGGCGACATTCCCATCTCGCTAGCAAGCTGAACACACCCTTTGAGGAAATCAAGCACTAAGTCCACAAGAGCATTTGGTACATGTGGTTCTTTCATAGAAATGTCAGAAGGGACGAAGCGATGGAGGACCTATCTGTCCCGTGTCCGTGTCGTGCCCCCCCCAGCTTAACCACTGATAACATCACCATTGCTGAAAAGAAACATCAGGAATGATTTTATCCCCACTGGTTCTGCGGGGCCCTCGCAACCAGAGCGCAGAGGGGAACACACGGTACAGCAGGCTACAGGAAGGAGGATTCCGAGTCTATGGTAAACCAAGCACACAGTACTTCAGCCCTTGCATTAAATGTGGGATACTTGCCACCCTCCCCATTTTGTTTTCCTAAACTTTCCTTTCAGTAATGGGCCTTTACATCACCCAGTAAAAGCCAGGTCCTACACTCCTAAGGGTGAAACATGGCCCAAAGATCTGGTAAAAAGACTTTTAGTAACCTTTTACCAAAGCCAACCACAGGCTGCTGAACTGCTCGCACCCACCAGGTATGCTGGCAAGCCCCCAGCCTGGGCTGCAGCCCGGCTGTTTAGCACCACAGCAAGCAAGCAGGAAACAAGAGATGGGCGCAGCATACAAAGTTCGTTTCTGTTTATCCAAAAATACAAATGCTGGCGGTCCTGCTGCTCCCTCCATTTTGAAGTGTCATACAAACTTCTTCTTTGTGAGGAACTGGAGTTCTTGTCGAAAAGTCTCACCCCATTCCCACAGACAGAAAATCTTGGCATTCGTTACATTTAAGACAAATGTTAACAAAAAGGACTTAACAGGGTGAGTCTTTTTCCCTTGACAAGATGGCCAGGTACTCTCAATATCTCTGAATGACATTCTGAAACTATTAAGTTCTTAGGAGTCTCTGCAATGTCATTCACAGCTTTTTTTTAAAAGTTTTTATTAGAATAAAGCAAGAAACATCATCTACATTTGGCTCCAACCCACCAACTGACTGCTCTTCTCTTACTGGGGAATTTAAGTTAAAGATTAACAGAATGTTGTGTGGCTCATTTTAGAAGATTAGAATTACCAGTGAAATTCTCTAGCATGTAATAATCATCTTCTCATCACCGTTTATTTTTTAACCACCCAATTATTGCCATATTTAGATTACTCCCTGGATTGGGAGCTGGTATTTAATTACAATGTTTCACTAGTGCTTGTATATCCTTAAATCCGCAACCCAGACGTATTACTTATAATTAACTTTGCAGTAGGTCAAGTGTTAAAGATTCACCTCTCTCATTCAGCCTTTTCAGAGTTTTACAAGTCAGAAACTGTCTAATGCATGATAAATAATGCAGGCCCTGTTTGTTCCATGCTGTGCACAATTTTATGTTGGAATTACAAGCCTCCTTGCCAAAAATGTCCTTGATTCTCAGGCTTTGAGAGAGAGTAATTGGTACCTCATATTCTCCCCTTTTTTGCACCAATTAAAGCCTGCAGGTGCACTTAATGTTGTCATCTGGAATCTTGCTGGTGCATCAGAGGTTATTCTCACCAAATGTGTGCTATTAGTAAAATTGGCCCATCAGGGGAATTGTGAATGCTCTGTTTGTTGTTACAGTGCTCTCAAGGCCTTCCAAATATCTTACTAGTGCAAGACCAGACAATAATTTTTACCTCTAAAGTAAACACAGAGTGTCATAAAAACTAAGTTCAGTTGGAAATATTACTTTCTTACTCACTCGGTGTACATCTGAAACAGTCAAAATCATCCCTTCAGGACTGTCTCAAATTTAAAGGCCAGACATGACTGCTAAGGTCATCTAGGATCTGCTGCTGAACACAGACCACAAAATTTCTCTTTATTTCTCTCAAAAGGACTCAGAGAGAAGATGGGCTTAAAAAAAAAAAAAAAAAAAGAACAATGAATTGAAGTCTCACCAATCTTGAGACAGGTAGCAGAAAGCAAGAGCCACTGATGTCATCAGCAAAAATACCCTTTGATTTAAAAGGGCTGATCCTTCTTCTCACAGTTCCAGTGAGGAAAAAAATCCACCTTCATTTTGGAAGTTTTTCTCCAGTGACTAACTACCCTCACTACAAAAAGTCCATGAGACAATGGGTTAAAAGTACTATAAGCACAATTGTCAAGAGTTCCCTGAGCTTGTTGTTATGATTCTTTTTTCTTTTTTTCCAGTCTATTAAATGATGGGACTACAATAGGCATCATGGCACTATATGCAGGACAATATATCTACTTTTATGAGGAACAAATTCCACTCTAAGTGATGAACTCCCAACAACACTGGCTGAACTGGAATTCAGAAAACTGAACTCTGCCACCACTCCTGAAGGAGCTCCCCTTCCCAGCCTCTACAGAGAAGTGTCAAATATCTCCATTTTATTTAGCTTTAAAGGTCAGTCCTCATTTAAGACTCAAATGCAGTCCCACTAAAAGCTTGCTAGACTTTAGGTAAGTATTTAGTCATTGAAAGAACTATTCTTTTGCAGCACATTTTACAGCTTAAGACACTTAACATTGAAACAGCAAGGACATCCAACACTTTAACGCAGAGAGATTTCTGTTCAAAAATCTATGGCACATAGCCCTGAAGGGAGTTTACGTTGGTCTCAAGCCCTTCACCTTTAACAAGGTGTCTTGTCTGAGTAAGATGCCTGAAGTAATTAAGGGATCAGTGATACCTTCAGGGCACAGCCTTATTTTGCAAAAGCAGCCAGGAGGGGGACCCTGAGAGGAATTATCTTTTTTCCAAATATGATGAAGACAATACTACCATCCAAATGGATTTCAGCAGAATGATAGTGTCCCGGGGCACTCAGGGAACATGACCATGGCATCCTTCAACATGGCGCGTACCTCCTACCATCTGTGGAGGGGTAGTGTTTGTACCAGACCCTCGTTCTGAACATAGGAAAGAGAAAGGACATTCCCTCCATGCTCCCTGCTGTTTCCAGGGCACCTGTAAAAATGCCTGTCCCCATCCAGCCCCCTACAACTTTGGGCGCTGGTTTTACAGAAATAAATAACTAAAATGAGATTTGAAAATGCCTTTAAATAGTTTGCTTATTTTAACAGTTGTTAAACTCAATAGAAAAAAATTAAGAAACAACTGAATTTTTAACAACTTCTTACAGCCAGAGATGACTATAAATCGTATGACGAAGAGGTGTGCACCTGGGAGGGAATTCTGTTTTCAAAACATGCAAAACTAATTAAGTGGTAGCACTTTTCCTCAACACGTTTGCACACCTCACAGGGAAACACATTGCCTCTCAAACACTTCTTATTTCACCATCAACCATTAAGCATGTACAGAATTGAATAAGGAAAAAAATGCAACCAAATAAAAAGTATCACTAAACATAACAGACTGTAAAACCCAGAGAGACAAATGCAGTATTACGTTGATCCTGACTTAATAAACTGCATGAAAAACACAAGTCAAGATTTGACTGAACTTCATGGACTTGATGATTTCTATATATATTTTTTTAAGGGGGTAGGAGGCGGGATTGCCATCAGAAACTTGAAAATAAACCCAAAATGCAGCCCTCTTATCAACTTCTGTCTGGGCCACTTAGGCGAGGGTAGAGTTGGTTATTTTTCCTCCTGAAGTGGAATTCTGCAAATGTCACTTGGGACTACAGGGAATTTGCTTGAAATTCTATATAACCCTTCTTATACTGCAACTGGACAGAGGGGTGTCTGGGGGTAGGGGGAGAGCATCTGCTTATTCCTGCCGCCTCCTGAATCGTCAGCCCCCATGCTGAAACACACCTGGACACACCTAAGCTGGGTCACTGACAGACAGCAGAGATCTTTCTATGTAAGCCAGGCGGAGCACACATACGTTTTGGGCAGGGTTCTGTTCTGTTACACCAGAGCTAAGTTCCAGATACAGAATTGCTCTCTAGGCAGAACAGTCCACACCACACTATGAAAGAATACGATCTCAAACAGATTTGGCAGTTAATTGCTTTTACATGGTGTAACTAGGATCAGAGTCAGACCACCTAACTTCCAAATACCCAGATTAGAACTGGATGTTAACTACGCATCTGTTCAATTTTTTGAATGGCTTGGCTTGTGAACTGAATAAACAAGCATCCTGCTATTTCATTTTCACATTTTAGAGCATTACCAGCTTTACCTTGCTTACCCTGAAGGCTCCAGAAAAGCCTCCAGGGGCTAAAGCAGGAAGGACAGACTCTAAAACATCCGCAAAATGTCGTAATGTTTTGTTAAAATAAAAGCTTGTGTGTTTACAGGCAAGAAAAAGTCTTCATTTTCTGCAGGATTCCACAGCTGCCAAGATGTCTTGCAGAATGCTGTTTCTGTTTTCCTTACTAACCTAGAGAAAGAGAAATTAAAACTGATGTAATTTGATGAATAACTTCTATATCAGTGTTTACTTCAAAAACAAACAAAGCAGAAATTCAAATGCATTTCTTTCTCAGTGGAGGAATGTTGAGCATCAAACACCTGCCTTCTGCTACAGGGAACACAATAAGCTAAACCCACAAACCTGAATATGCAATTGAATGTTCAGTGATCTTTCTGATTTAATTACTCGTGGTATTTTGCAGTACTATTCAGGGCTTGAATAACTAACAAGAATCACTCGAAGAGCCAGCATGTACTTTTGTCATTACTAGAAATCCTTTTCAATTACCAAATATAATTTTCCTACTACAAAGTGGAGTTCTTATGCCTTCAGTACTTGAAAGGATTGTATTTATTAGGATGACAGGCCCAAAACATCTGCAATGAAAAAAATGAAAACAGGCTTAGCAGTGCAACTCTGTATTCTGAGAAATCTTGGCATTGCAGGATAGAAACACCTTGAAAAAGAAGTAAGACTACTTGAGAAAGCCAGGGTGGCTTTTGTAGCACCCTGAGATACGCCTTTCGTTGATCAGTCCATGGAAACATTGGGCTTTAAGACCAGTGCATGTGAAAATCCATGCAGTCCAGCGTCCTTCCTTTGCTGGGCCCATCTGCATTGCAGCACGTGCAGATTACTGTAAACTGCCAAGCAAACGCTAGCATTTGCTAGTCAGCTCAGCTCCCAGGTGCAGCAACGATAGAGCACAGAGCTGGCAGGGGGTGTGTGCATGTGTATATATATAAAAAAAAAAATTACTCCTTCTTGATAGACTGGGTCCTGATAGAGAGTCCTGTGACCCACAGTGCCATGCATTAATAACTCAACCAAAACCTGGGGAGATGGCTGGGGTGACAAAAGGGTTAACAAGCATTTGTGAAGTGTCAGCAAAAGACTAATTTTAAAAAGCCTAAGAAATTTTCCCCACTGTTCAGATCCCTGCAGAGAGGGCAGGAAGAAATCAGACAAAGACAGATGAGCTAAAAAAAAGTAAGGGCATTCATATTTTTAACAAAGTTTGAGAAATGCTGTTTGACGAGGAAGGAGAAACACCACATTATGCATGGCACTGAACTCTCTACCAGCAAGGTTTCACTGTATTCTCTGTAGCTGCATTTTAGACCTGAGCACAAGGGTTTGTACCCCTTCCAAGTATTACAGGCAATACTGAACAGGAGAAAGTATTATTAGTATTTTTAAATAGATGACAGTCCTACCTGAATAGTTTGGCCCTAGGAGCCTACTGCTATTTACAGCCACAGACATCCTATCCAAATGCTGGAAACCAACTCTGTAAAACCTAGAGATGGTGGTCTCACCTATGTCACTTGAATTCAAGACAGCAGATCAACACAGGAATGATGAAAAAGTGACATTAAAAAAGGGAATGAAAGAGAAGATCTGCCCGAAAATGCTGCTGTTTTTATTGAGTATCGTTCTAAACCTATTATAAGATAAACAGAAAACCCCACAATAACAAAGAGAACAAGACAACAAAGAATGGAATTGCTCTTCAGTAAGGCTATTGAGAGACCCCAAGGTAAACAAGCCACAGAACACAGAGCAGCCAAACTCTAACTCTCACAGCAAGTGTCCTGATATCCTGACTTTCAAAGGACCTTCTCAGCATTTAATAGCTCTTCCCACTGTCTCACAGCCAACAAAAACAATACTACATTTTATCTATCCCTTCTCCATACCTACATGCCAGAAGTCCAGCGAGAGCAGCACAGAGAAAGTGCCAAGTGCTGGGGAATTTTCACAACTGTTTTACAAAGGCTGCTTGATAGATATAAGTCTCCTCTTAAGATCTGGAGACATTCTGTGCAGGCAGCTTTCCCAGAGAAAACAAATCTCCCAGTATCTGTACTGAATGTACAAACAGATGGGTAGATTTTTAGACAGGGAGTTGAAAATAACTGTGGGTGCTGCTTATACTAAGCATTTAGGTAATTTGGAGGAAACTTCCACCTAGACTCCAAGCAGACAACAGTAGAGGACAAAAGCTTCCTTCTCCTAACTGTTTAAGTACTGTCAACGAAAGCCCTCTTGTACAGTCTGTTCAAACGGAACCTTTTCTTCTTCTGATCCATTTAACTATTTATTTTCTTTCTTAAAAGGCATACACAACCAAACTTCACTAGTGGGTTTCACGGAAGCAAAATTAATAAATGGGAAAATGAGAGGAAATAAGTATGTGCCAGCTGCCAAGGATAATCTGATCCTATTTATGACACCATGTCTGCAAAACTACACAGAGCTGGGCAGTGCAAAAAGAACCTCTGCAGTTTCACTGGCAAGTTTAGTTCTCAGCAAAATGTAATTGGGCAACAGTGGAAAGAAATGTGTTAAATATCAGAGCTCCTACCATTAAGTGCTCTAAACATAATAAATTAAACATTTGGGACCAAATCCTCAACTGCTTTTAGGGCATCTGGGCCCATTTACACCAACTGAGTATGCTTTAAAGACAGAAGGGACTGTAAAACCCCAAACAGCTGCCTCTATGTGCTTAGCATCAAACATCAGAACTGTCCTTGTGACACTAAGAGAAGGACGAGAAAACTCTGCTGAGTTACTTAAATGCAGCTTAGCTCCTTGTAAGTGAGAAAACAGGCAGAACTTTTCTGGAAGGTAGCCACCTACTTCTACACTTCCAGGAACCATAAAAGTCAGTAAGAAACTACTGACCATGAACTACTTGGGCACTCCAAGTTCTCCCCATGCCACAGCCATTGAAGAACATAGCTGGAGATCCAGTATTTACTTCAGCTAATAACACCTCTGACTCCCCATGGGCAGGTTCTGCTCCTGCTTGTGCACATGTTTTAACTAGCTGGGAAAGAGCATGTAGCGTGTCACTGGAGCAAGCGAGACACATACTCTCCCGCACAAGACTGTAGCATAGCAGGTCTCTGCCACCTGGGAACTATTGCAGTCTGCCACACATTTCACACCCATGCTTTTGGCTAACAGATTCACCAGAGAACTCTTTTTAAACAAAGAAACCTGCATGTCCTAATCTCAGCAGTATAAACAGGATGGCTCATTCTTTATAGAGTTGAAATTGAAATTTACAGGAAGATTTTTGCTGGTTGTCGTCAGTACTTAAGAGAAAGATGTATCGGCAGACTGACACAGCTAACAACCTAGGGCAGATTGGCACGTGCCCTCAGAACATCACCTGCTAAAAAGAGACAATGGAAGCCTCAAAAGGTTCCTTGAAAAGCCAGATACTGTTTTCTAGCAGTGTGTTTCCTCCCCCGAGAGAACCAAACACACACTATTGCCTTGCCGTGACTGCAGCCCAAGCACTGAATGGGGTCGCTTTCAGTTAGGCATTCTCCATTCCCTCTTCCCCAGTCCTACCACTGTAAAGCAAGTCATACAAAATTCACATTCACGTGCATCCCTGTTCAGCAGCCTGACAACTAACACACATCAGCTTGTCTGTGGGAAACCTGAGGTTTTATCTCTGAAAGGAACGGTAGGAGTCGAATGCTTATGTGAAGAAAGGAATCTTCTCTTGCCTTTGCTTCTAGGATTGCTTTAGCACTTAATTAAACAGGAATTTAATTTAAAAAACAGAATTTGAAGATGATGATGGGACCACTAACTAAAAAAAAGCTGAACAAATTTTCTGAGCACTGCAGTTTTTTATTAATCTCACTTTGAAGAGGAAAGAAGAAGATGGAGGCTTTGCTTTCTCTTCAATAATTAAGATCATTCAGTATAAAGTTGTTGATAGTGTTTTTCCTTCCTCATTCACTTGGATGAGAACAAAGCAAGCATTCTCATTGTGACGTGCATCTGATAAAAGAACACGCTGCAACACTATACTGCTCTACAGCATACTACCCCTCTTAGTAAGCCAGGATGTATAAGTCCCACTTACCGAATTTAAAATTTATAGAGATGCACAGTTGAGTTTTGGATATATAGCTTAATTCTCTCCTACAAATAGTACACACTGAGCAGAAAAATAAATCAAAGGAGCAGGGGCTGTGTTTAGCTTGTTTTTGTGAAGCATCCAGGACACTTATGTTAAGGAAACCTCAGGCATGTATTCCTGTGAACAGGCTATGTTTTGTTGTGGTAAGTTTTTGAGAACCTCCCTGTAACCGATCAGAAATGCACTTTGAGGCCCTAGTATTATGAAAATTATGTCTGTAAAAATAACATAATGAATTCCAAAATTGGTTCATTGACTCCAGAGAAAGTACTCTCAATTTACAAGTGTCTTTCTTATAGAAATAATTTCTGCAAATTCCACTGCTGCCTTTTTTTTTTTTTCCTTTAATATGATTACTGGTAATATTTCTGCAAGCCAGTCTGGAAAAAAAAAATTAAAATCTGACTGTACTTTAAAAGATTTAACTCTTAGGAATAATGAATACTTATATGACAATAATACTACAGCAAGAAAACCTTTTAAAACAGCTATATCATTACTTCTACAGCCCCTCACAAGCAAAGCCAGCTGTGTGAGACTGCTACAGTAAGTGCCAAATGTGATTTTTTTTTAAGTAAGGTGAACACCTGCCCATTAAGAATAAAATGGAAAGTAAAAAACTTGTTTCATCAAGCTACCCACAGCTATCAATTGGCAATACCAATTAGTTTTTAAACAGAGCCAGATACAAACCAGCAACCTAGAACAGAAAGCTCTTTAAGGATATTAAATATTACTCACATTGAACACTTTAACATCTTTCCTACTTCTTATTTCTTCAACAAGATCCAGTGGCTTTCCCTTAGGTATTGGAATAGTTCCAAGCACCACGGTCCCTGAGCCAGTCAGTGTTTGACGGACAGCTTGAATAAAAGGCTGGCTGAAGAGTTCCATTTTACCAATCTCATCTATGACACAAATTTTTTTCTCTGCATCACTGCCATGGCTTACCTGTGGAAAAGTGCATCAAGAGACTGTAAACAACACAGAACAAGCAGAAGAAATAATTTCTATGCTAGTAAAAGAAATCCCTCCAGAAGAAATCAATTCATTTGTAATACTGGGGAATGTGGAAGAGTCAATGCTGCTGCTAGTAACTGACAGACTTATAAATCTATCATTTCTATTTCAGCACAGATTTTTGGAAAGATGAAAATACATGTACAGCATAAATACCAACTACAATAGGAAATATCCTTAGTATTAGTATTCACCCCTCCTGCTGTAGGAGAAGATCGGGTTTGTGACCTCCTGTGGAACCTGAATGCACAGAAGTCCATGGGCCCTGATGAGATGCATCCCAGAGTCCTGAGGGAATTGGCCGATGTAGTCGCCAAGCCCCTCTCCGTGATATTTGAAAAGTCATGGCAGTCAGGTGAAGTCCCTGGTGACTGGAAAAAGGGAAACATTGTACCCATTTTCAAAAAGGGTAGAAAGGAAGACCCTGGGAACTACCGACCTGTCAGCCTCACCTCTGTGCCTGGGAAGATCATGGAACAGATCCTCTTAGAAGCTATGCTAAGGCACATGGAGACCAGGGAGGTGATTCGAGATAGCCAGCATGGCTTCACCAAGGGCAAGTCCTGCCTGACGAACCTAGTGGCTTTCTATGATGGAGTGACAACAACAGCGGACAAGGGAAAACCAACAGACGTCATCTATCTGGACTTCTGCAAAGCCTTTGACACGGTCCCCCACAACATCCTTCTCTCTAAATTGGAGAGCTATGGATTTGATGGGTGGACTGTTCGGTGGATAGATAACTGGCTGGATGGTCATGTCCAGAGGGTAGTGGTCAATGGCTCGATGTACGGATGGAGACCGGTGACGAGTGGTGTCCCTCAGGGGTCCGTACTGGGACCGGTGCTGTTTAATGTTTTCATCAATGACTTAGACAGCGAGATCGAGTGCACCCTCAGCGAGTTTG